TTTTGCACCCACACCCAAATTATTTGGGCATTTGACTAGTCTATGGAACTCTTTTGATGTAATCTACAATAGATATTCCTCCTTGAAATGTTGAAACTCTTTTGATGTAATCTACAATAGATATTCCTCCTTGAAATGTTGAAACTCTTTTGATGTAATCTACAATAGATATTCCTCCTTGAAATGTTGAAACTCTTTTGATGTAATCTACAATAGATATTCCTCCTTGAAATGTTGAAACTCTTTTGATGTAATCTGCAATAGATATTCCTCCTTGAAATGTTGAAAGTGGTTAGCTTCTTGGGTGGGTGAATAATGGACAGATTGTTTATTATACCTAGGATGATTTGTTTGAAGTTAGTCCAACCCTGCTAAGGCCTTATGTAACAATCTGATTTTATATATCGGACTGTATTAATTTACTCAAGGTTAACTCAACCCTTCATAAAAAAAAAAAAAAAACATGAGCAGAAACCAAAAGCTGAAAGCTCCTACACACACTAAGCAAGACCATGTCCATAGCGCCCCACTAGACTGAATGTCCTCTCCACGTCTCATAAGTTTATGCACCAACCGAAAAGAAAAAGAAAAATAACATAGGTAAGTATAAAAATATACTCGATAAGTAACCCAACTTTTAAGGCTAAAGCTATATTCCTACTTAAAGTTCTTAATGTTGAATAAATGCACATCCTGGAAATTTATACCTTGACGTAAGGGTATAATGCACAATGAACAACACAGAAGGAAACTAATCTAATTCTAATCTAAGCTCATAAAGATGAGAAAAAAATAGAACAGGAAAAAACTGTACGCTTCCTTACAAGCTTGACTGTATGTAATGTATTGACGTTAAAATCTTCTTAATATGTAATACGTAATGTACCGAGTCAGCCACCAATTTGATGATGAGTGGAACGAAGTTCAATTCCACTGTTTCAATGCTAACCTTTTCTAATGTTATTCTTTGATGGTAGATCAAATCACAAAACATTTTAACTAAATACTGAGTACCAAACTTGTTTTTTACTTCTCCAAGTGATAATGTCATCCAAACATGGGAGCAAAAGCCAATTGTCCAGCCTGATTAGTGTCATTGTGATACTTGAAACAGCGCCATGATTCATTTCATCATTTTACTTTTCAATGCTACAACTTTCATGCAACTACATCGATTCAGGAGTTCACCGATATGAGCACAATTCCTCCGTTGGATAAAAGCGGGCTTATAACACTTTATCGGTGCTTGTCGGGTGATTTGAGCACTTATCGGGACAACTCGGGTAAATACCATCTCAATCGAAAACTTTTGAGCCCCACTAATGCTTTGTAATATCATCCTAAGTATTAAGATGTCTTGTACCCATGCAGTTCACTCGAGCATTCTTATCAAGAACTAACTCGCGAGTCAACTTCATACCCAAAACCTTTTAGATATCTCCATCCATCTCGGTACTTTTTGATGCATGAACCCTTCTGTGTCCATGTCTGTGCCACTGCACACTGGCCTAAAGCTCGACCCTTTAATGCAACTTCGACTCATGAAAAGGGGCGCAATATTGGCACACCTGAGCAACTTGATACTATCCTTGAAATCTGAGGTGACTCACTTAGACCATAAGACACATGGATGATGGAGGGGGGCCACATGTCTACCTATACATGGAGCATTCGTCTAGTGTTCATTCGAAACCAAATTCGGTGAGCTTACATCTTTCACGTTTATAGACATAGCTCCAAAAGCTACTTGTCAAATCTCATGATGAAACCTCGAGGTTATAATCTCAAAAAGACAACAAGCCAATGACTATCGAGTCACCCTAAGAAGTAAGGAAAAGAGAAGGAGAAAGGAAAATGAAGCAAAGGAGCGAGGAAGAAATTGAATATGCGAGAGAGACATTGTAACAGCCCAATCCCACCATTAGCAGATATTGTCATCTTTGAGCTTCCTCCCAAGGTAAAAAATGCATCTATTAGGTAGAAGTTTTCACACCCTTATAAGGAATGTTTCGTTTCCCCCTCCAACCAATGTGGGATCTCACAACCCACCCCCTTTGGGAGCCCAACGTCCTCGCTAGCACACCGCCCGATGCCTAGTTCTGATACCATTTGTAACAGCCCAAGCCCACCACTAGCAGATATTGTCCTCTTTGGGCTTTCCCTCAAGGTTCCAGAACGTGTCTTCTAGGTAGAGGTTTCTACACCCTTATAAAAAATGTTTTGTTTCCCTCTCTAGGATCTCACAATCCACCCCCCTTGGGAGCCCGACATCCTCACTGGCACACCGCCTGATATCTGGCTCTAATAATATTTGTAACAGCTCAGGCCCACTACTAGCAGATATTGTCTTCTTTGGGCTTCCCCTTAAGATTCCAAAACGTGTTTACTAGGTAGAGGTTTCCACACCTTTATAAGGAATGTTTCGTTCCCCAAACCCAGTGGGTTCTCACAATCCACCCCCCTTGGGAGCCTAACATCCTCGCTGGCACACCGCCCGGTGTCTGGCTTTGATGCCATTTGTAACAGCCCAAGCCCACCACTAGTAGATATTGTCCTCTTTGGGCTTTCCCTTCCGAGCTTCCCCTCAAGGTTCTAAAACGTGTCTACTAGGGAGAGGTTTCTACAACCTTATAAAGAATGTTTCGTTCCCCTCCAATCAATGTGGGGTCTCATAATCCACCCCCTTGGGGGCCCAACGTCCTCGCTAGCACATTAGCAGATACCTAATTTTGATACCATTTGTAACAGCCTGAGCCCACCACTAGTAGATATTGTCCTCTTTGGGCTTTACCTTTCGAGCTTTCCCTCAAGGTACCAAAACGCGTCTTCTAGGTAGAGGTTTCCACACCCTTATAAAAATGTTTCGTTCTCTTCTCCGGGATCTCACAATCTACCCCCCTTGAAAAACCGATGTCCTTGTTGGCACACCGCCCGGTGTCTGGCTCTAATACTATTTGTAACGGCTTAAGCCCACCACTTGTAGATATTGTCTTCTTTGGTCTTTCCCTTTCAGGCTTCCCCTCAAGGTTCCAAAACGTGTCTACTAGGTAGAGGTTTCCACAGCCTTATAAGGAATTTTTCGTTCTCCAAACCAATGTGGGATCTCACAATCCACCCCCCAGGAGCCTAACATCCTCGTGGCACACCGCCCGGTGTCTGGCTCTGATACCATTTGTAACAGCCCAAAGCCCACCACTAATAGATATTGTCTTCTTTGAGCTTTTCCTTCCGAGCTTCCCCTCAAGGTTCCAAAACGTGTCTACCAGGGAGAGGTTTCCACGAGCTTATAAAGAATGTTTTGTTCCCCTCCAATCAATGAGGGGTCTCACAATCTACCCCCCTTGGGGGCCCAACATTCTTGCTCGCACACCGCCCAGTATCTGGCTCTGATACCATTTGTAACTGCCCAAACCCACTACTAGCGGGTTTTGTCCTCTTTGAGCTTTCCAAGAATAAATGCTTGTTGAATCTTCTTAGCTTTGGATCGTATTAATAAGTCCAGTTAGAACATTTGGAACACCATAATCCTTATCATTTCCCTATATAAATAATCTCTCAAACCTTCCATTTCCATCCTACCAACTCATTTCTCTCCTTATTACTTCATGTACATATCATTATTCCATATCTTTAGTCGAACACCAATTTGCAATTTGGATAAAAATATCAAGAAATAAAGGAAGAAGAAGTAGGAGAAGAAGAAAGGAAAGGAAAGGAAGGGAAGGGAAGGAAAGGAAGCAGGTTGTATGGTTCCAATGAACTCCAATTAGCATGAGAATTCGCATGAAACTTATTTTTGATATTATGTATGACTTATGCATGAGATTAATAAGTGTGAGCTGTTGAGTTGGACTGAATGGGTCGAGAACGGGTCGTGGGTTGTACTCGAGTTCTAATGTTCACTTGTGGATACCGTATTCTTGACCCGACTCCCAACGACTTTCTCTCTTTTGCAGTTCCATATCTACGTCGTTTATGAATTTCGTGCTTTTAAAGGAATTGCTTTTGGAAGTTGATGCTCGACCTTGGAATAAACTGGCGAAACGTAGAGTTCAACATTATAGGTATGAGTTTAGTTATCAAGTGGTAGAACTTTTTGTCTTTACCTTATTCCTCTGAGTCCAAATGTTCATTCGTGGATATCGTCTTCTTGACCCGACTCCCAATGACTTTCTTTCTCTCGCAGTTCCATATCCACCTCGTTTTTTACTTTCGTGCTTTTAAAAGAATTGCTTTTGAAAGTCGATCCTCGGCCTTTGAATAATTTCGCAAAATGTAGAGTTCAGCATCATAGGTATGAGTTCATTTATCAAGTGGCAGAACTTTTTGCCTTTTCCTTATTCCTCCCATCTATTGTACTGATGATTGTGCAACGACAGGACTCGAGAATACTGAAAATCAAGTACTTCTCTACACACGGTCCACATACGCACCCATGAACTCCCCAGATAGGTGCATGCGTACCTTTGGGCCTGCCTTCAGCTAGCGCATTCTCACGATGTTAGAGGCATGGAGGGAAAAAAGCTCGCATGATATCATGGCTTTCGGACTTCCCCTCAAGGTTTTAAAACACGTAATACCAAGGAGAG